AGGGGTGCTTCCTTCTTCTTGCATCTGGTGAAGGGCACATTCCCCAGACCACTTTCCAAATTCCTGGCTAGAGAAATACCAATTTGGAGGTCCTTTGAAATTTAATTTCTGCCCTTAAACATAAACCTTAAAACCCTCCAATTATATCTCAGAATTAGAATAACATCCAAGCTCCTTGTGGGTCACAGGCCTTATATGATCTGGCCCTTCTCTCTCTCCCTCTTTGGCCTCTTTTCTTTTCTTTCTTTCTTTTTTTTTTTTTTTTGAGAGAGAGTTTCACTCTGGCACCCAGGCTAGAGTGCAGCGGTGCTGCAGGATCTACTTCCTGGGTGCAAGCGATCCTCCTAAGTAGCTGGGACCATAGGTGTACGCTACCACGCCTGGCTAATTTTTTGATCTTTTTGTAGAGATATGGTCTCCCTATGTTGCCCAGGCCTCAAACTCCTGAGCTCACACAATCCTCCTGCCTCAGCCTCCCAAAGTGTTAGAGTTACAGGTGTGAGCCACTGTGCCTGGTTGGCCTCATTTTCTACTTCTCTACCCCTGGCCCATTCAGTTTCAGCCATGCTGGCCTTTTTTCTGTTCTTGGGACACTCCCAGTTTGTTCCTCATTTGCATGCACCGTTCTCTGCATGTGGAAAGCTTCCTCCCATCTTGCCTTTTCTAGTCATTTAAGTTTTAGCTCAAAAGAACCTTTTCCAACCCGCCTTTCTAAAGTAGGGCCCCCATCCAAGTTGTTTTCTATCCTGTTACTCTATTTTATTTTCTTCATGGCATTTATTGCCATCTCAGATTATCTTATTAATTGGTTTATTTTTTGCCCTCCCCTCACCTAACCCACAGGAAAGCGAGCTCCATGAGCACATCACCAGTGACTAGCAATGTGTGTGCTATATAGTACACACTCAGTAATACCTGTTGAAAACATTATGAAATGAATGAATGCAGAGTGAATGGAAGGAAGACATCTTTGGGTCAACTGGAAGGGGAAAACTTAAATCTTCAGTTCAGGGGACAAGGGGAAGCCTGACAGAAACTGAGAAGGCAGCTAATAGACATTTTGTTTGCCTTGGCAATAATGGGTTTCAGCTCTAAAGAGGCCTTCCTGATCGACCATCTGTCGACAGAAGCCTAGCAGGTCCTGTTTCCTAACAGGGAAAGAATAAGGAAAGAGTAGATTTCCTTCTCCAAGCCTATAGGACCAGGGGTTAAGGTGGGAGGACAGGTGAGGTTGTGATAGCTTATGATGTCCCAGTGAACATTCACGCAGTGGGTGCAAGCCTTCCAAATCTTGTCTCAGTGACTGCATTACCATCAGATGAGAGTTGACAGCTGTTGCTGATTAAAACATTTCCAACAGCACAGTCAAAATTGCACGATTGAAATGATGAGTGTAGATGGACACAGCCTTTATGAATGGCTTAAACACAGCCCCTTAGAGTGATCACTAGCCTTATTAATACATATAGTTGGAAATCACTTTGCAATTATGAATGAATCATTCCTCAGAGCACCCCCCTGGGTGAGAGGCATCTTTAGGGATTTGTCTTAGACAAGGGAAGAGGAGGCTCAGGGCTGTGTTTCTCTGCACTAAGGTTCTCTAAAAAGAGTTATCAGGGTATCTGACTTTCCAACCAGGAATCCCCTTGGATGGAAATATATATCCATTATTCCAGGGATTCTCCTTCCTGGGCAGTCCCTCTGCCACCCTTCTTCAACAGGAACAGGGTCCTTTTCCACTTTTTTCCTCCTTAGCACAGGTGATTGTGCCTGATTAGTTAGGGAACACTTTGTGGAGGTGTTTACTGGTGGTGGTGGTGTCAGATTTTGCTGCTGCGTCTGTCTCTGAGGCAGGTGGATCAGGGCCACAATCTTGTATCCACAGTCACCACCTCTATAAAGCTTGGAAACCCTGTTTTTTCATAACTCACCTGACTGCAAAACCTATCCTGAGTTGAACTCATTTCATGGCAAGACTTGATCTAAACTGATATCAACCTATTTATAATCTTTATTTATGCCAATTAGAGAAGTATGTCATACTTTTTGCTTCAGAAATACTGTATTTGATTATGGGGTGCTGAGTTAGATTTTGCTAAAAATGTTACATAAAATGTAGTATATAGGCCATATTACCTTTCTAACATATGGCACCTTCTGAATTCTGGATATTTAACCTCAGGAGTTTTGGATAAGAAATTATCAATCTATAATGTGGGGTAGGATTGGGGGAAGGAACAAAGAAACTACAGTATTAGCGGGGTAAGGGAGCAAAGATTTGCTTTTCTTTTCCCTCCATAGACAAAGACTTTCCAAGCACTCATCATTGGCTTCCTTGTATTACCTGCCACTCCCTGACTCTGTAACCTCTGCTCTGTAATGCTACTAACAGTCTGCATTTTAAGCCCAAACAACTCTTTGTTCCTTTACAGTGGTGGGCTTTGGGATGGACCCTGACCTTCAGATGGATATCATCACCGAGCTTGACCTTGTGAACACCACCCTTGGAGTGGCTCAGGTGTCTGGAATGCACAATGCCAGCAAAGCATTTTTATTTCAAGGTAAAGGCACCTCTTTTCCTGCATGGTGGCAGAGGTTGGGGAGGAGGGTCTGCCTAGGGGGTGCTCATCGGGTGTGTGTTTGTCTGGAGATCACCTTTGCTATTTCTCTTGTGTTGTTGTCCTGAGTGCTTAGATATGCAGGGGGTATTATTCTGAGGGCAGGAGGGCGGCATTAGAGATCATGGTGGTGAAATATTTGGTTTGGCAGTGAAATATTTCCTTGATTTTGGTGAGGATCTAAAGTGGAATGAATTTATAAAATACTTGAAAGTCATTGACCAGCCATATTATTGTTACAGAATATTTCTCTAGCTATTATCAATTGCCTTTGCCTGTACTTATACCTATACCTATATTTACATCTTTCATCTAGTGGATAGGCCATAAGGACAGAGGAAAACTTATGGCTGCATTCTCCTTGGGGTAGAACTTACTCAGTTCTGCCCACTATAAGCTGGACTACAATTCATTAAATCATTCAGCAAGCATTTATAGAGAAAACATGGTGTGGTTCTTAGAAGCATGGTGTTTCTCACAATTTTGGAGGCTGTGAAATCCAAGAATAAGGCATCAGCAGATTTGGTACCTCGTGGGGGCTGGCTCTGTCTGCTTCCAAGATGATGCCTTGTTACTGTGTCCTGTGGAATGCTGTGTCCTCATATGGTGGAAGGGATGGAAAGGCAGAAAAATAACTAGCTAGTTTCCTTTCTAAAGACACTAATCCATTCACGAGGGCAAAGACCTCATAATTTAATCACTGCCTAAAGGCCCCACCTCTTAGTACTAATGCACTGGGAATTAAGTTTTAATATGAATTTTGGTGAGACACAAATATTCAAATCAGCGAAGTGATATGTCAACAGATAGTTAAAAAATGGATAGAAAGCCTGGTATAGGAAGGGGTGGGGTCTCGGAGCATTCTGAATAGAGGGAATAGTATGTGTAAAGGTAAGGCAAAAGCATGGCGGAAGGGTGGTGAACGTCTGGAGGGGTAGACAGGGACTAGGTTACATGGGACCCTGTTGGCAGAGCTGACATTCTGCTGATGTGTGTGGGTTTGGGTGTACTGATGATTTATGGCTGGTGTCCATTTTGATAGGTGGGACGCCATGTACTTTTTGTTGCCTGTTTTAAGTATTACCCTTGCCTGTAGGCCAGTTAATGGCTTTGTGCTTTACTCTCAGAGAAGTGGGGCCTTTGTAGAGGTTTAAACGGGGAAATGAACTGACCAGATACCATAGTAAGGCAGCCTGGATATTCCTCTATGAAAATGTCTGGCAGGGTTCTTTTAACTGAGCCTTTTATGATGATAATAAAAGGATTATTTTAGCATGGCTGAACCAACATAATAGAATGAGATTTACATATTTACAGTGCAGATAACTTAAGATGTTAATGATATATAGCAAATCTACAGTTATTATGTAATATATAACAAGAATATGGACATACTAATTTTCACTTGCTCCTTACTAATGAACTGGTGAAGTATGTAAGCTGGGTATGATTAAAAGAGTAGACTGAATTACTTTGTTTTTGCATTGTGCGAGATCTGCCCAGTCACTGTTGAGAGTCCATACCTTTCTTGATCTGAGCAAGGCTGCTGACACTTTGTAAACAAAGTTGCTATGGAAACCTGACTGGTCTGTAAGCTTGAAAAAGGCAAGAGTCCTGCAGATCTAGATACTCCTAGATCCTCAGGGCGAACTATTGTGCATGAAGCATAGTAGGTGATTAATAAACATTTTGAATGGAATTAAAATTTCTTTTGTACTATGTACCTTATAAAAAAGCTTACTGCTTGCTTTAGTCACTACTATTCATTCATTCCACAAGTGTAGGTCCCCTGGGCTGGAACTCTACTCTCTAATCTGTGTAATCTCTGTTTTGGCAACTGTCTCTGTGATGTCTGTCCAGCTACAACAACTGAGAGGAATTTTCAGCTTCTTCAAGGGGAAGAGTAACTTCTTTATGGAACTTTGACAAAGAAGGCCTTTCTCTTATATCCCCTGTGATTATATTGGGCTCACCTAGAAAATTCAGGATAATCTCCCCTGTCTCAAGACCAGTAACTTAATCACATCTGCAAATCCCTTCTGTCATGTAAGGTAACATAATCATAGATTCTGTCAATTAACACCTGCACATTTTTGGGGAGCCATTATTTTGTTTATCACAAAGTCTGCCCTCTAGATCCAGAAGATTCATGTCTGTCCCACATGCAAAATACATTCACCCCATCCGAGTACCTCAAAAAGTCTTAATCCATCATAGCAACAACTCAAAGATTGAAATCTCCCCTAATCTCAGCTGAAAAATTCTACCTCTCATTAAGTAATCTAAATCAGATATGGGAGAGACAGTGGGTATAATCCATTTTGGGGAAAAAATTTCTCTCTATTGTGGTCCTATGAAACTGAAAAACAGGTAATCTGCTTCCAAAATACAATGGCAGGATAGACATAAGATACCAGTTATAGATATTTCTGTTCCAAAGGAAGGAAATGGAAAGAAGAAAGGAACCACTGGTCCCAGACTCTTGTGAAAATCAGCAGTGCAAACTCCACTGGGTTCAAGTCTTAGAAATAATCCTCTTTGGTTTTGGCTCTGTCTTCTGGCTTGTGGCTCATTCCTCTGAGACATTGTTCGTTTTTCGTGAATAATAGCATTTGTTTGCAGTTGAGTAGTTTTATCAGCTTGTTTCCTGCCTGTAAAGTTTTGGGGGTTTGTCAGACATCTTTCATGGTGTCCTCTCTCAGTCTTCTTCAGTACAAATTGGCAGGGTTTCTGTTGGTATGATATTGTCAAGAAACTTGAAGGTCTCCTGTCCACTAGACAAGCAGCTTATCCACAGATCTGTCCTGGATAATGCTGTCTCTGTTCCTGACTACTTCTGAGATGACTGAAGGGAATCCATGACTCACATACTGATCTCTACAAAGAGGCCTGTAGGTGATTGAATATTTTGACCTTTTGATCCTTCCAAGGCACTATCAAAAAGTTGTTTAGCCACAACTTGGCTCTAGAGCAGGCTTTCCTGATAGTGTATCTCCTTTTATTGTCTTCTGCAATCTGGATAGGCTGAGAACTCCCTGAATTATCAAGTCCTGACTCCTTTTTGCTTAACAGCTCTTCTCTCAATCCCTCACTTTTCTCTCACATTTTGCCATAAACAGCAAGAAGAAATCAGACTGTACCTTCAACACTTTGCTTGGAAATCTCCTCACCTAAATATCTAAGTTTATTTTACTTTCCACCTAACTACAGGACAAAATGCAGATAAGCTTTCTGGCATCAGGTAACAGGGATCCCCCATCTTTGGGTATTCATTCAGTAATATGTCCCTCATTTCCTTTTAAGCCTTTGCTGGGACCACTTTTAACATCTATATTTATTTTTAACTCCCTGTTGAAGGCAATTGGCCTTTTCTACCATACTCATTAAAAATTTTCCAGGCTCTACCCTATTACCCAATGCCAAAGCCTCTTCCACATTTTTAGGTATTTGTTACAGCAGCACCCCACTTCCAGTTACCTAAAGTTTGCATTGGTTTCTTACTGGTGCTGTAACAAATTACTACAAATGTAGTGACTTAAAATAAATTTATTATACTTCTAGAGGTTATAAATTCAAAAAGAGATTTATGGGTTTAAAACTAAGGTGTTAGGCATGTTCTCACTCATAGGTGGGAACTGAACAATGAGATCACTTGGACTCGGGAAGGGGGACATCACACACCGGGGCCTATCATGGGGAGGGGGGAGGGGGGAGGGATTGCATTGGGAGTTATACCTGATGTAAATGACGAGTTGATGGGTGCTGACGAGTTGATGGGTGCAGCACACCAACATGGCACAAGTATACATATGTAACAAACCTGCACGTTATGCACATGTACCCTAGAACTTAAACTATAATAATAATAAAAAATAAATAACTAAAAAAAAAAACAAAAACAAAAACTAAAGTGTTAGTAGAGCTGTGTTCTTTCTGGAAGCTCTACTGAATATTCATTCAGTTCATTGCCTGTTGCAGCTTCCAGAAATTGCCATATTCCTTGGCTCGTGGCTGCATCAGTCCAAGGTCGACTTCTGTTGTCACATTTCCTTCTCTCTGATTCTGTCGTCATATTGTCTTCTCTGATACTGACCTTCTGCCTTCCATTTTCCCTTATAAGAACTCTTGTGATTATGTTGGAACCACCCAGATAATCTAAGTATTCTCAAGATTCATAATTTAATCACATCTGCAAAATCTTTTTTTGCTGTATAAGATGACATAGTTACAGGTTCTGGGGATTAAAATATGAATATCTTTTGGGGCCCATTCTATCATAGAATGGCGAAGCATTGTTGGCCATAAATATGAACATAATGATGTTTTCTGAGTACTACAATTAAATCTTCCTTTTTCTAGTTCAGTACTGTTCAATCAAAATGTATTGTAAGCTCCATCTTTAATTTTAAAATCTGTAAGAGTCACATTAAAAAAGTAAAAAGAAACAGGTAAAATTAATTGTATATTTTATTTAACCCAATATATAAAAAATATTATTTATACATATGGTCAACACAAAAATATATTAATAAAATATTTTACTGTTTTTAAAAAAAACAAAGTCTTCAAAATTAATTGATATTTTACACTTAAAACACATTCCAATTTGCATGCTAAATTTTTAATCTGTAGTAACTGATACGTATTTTGATTTCATAAAATTTATAGTTAAAAAAGTAGATTCGTCAAATTATTCTGTACAGAATTATTAGATTAAAAAATTAAACAGGTTTATTGAGGTATAATTACACTATAATAAACTGTGTGTATTCAAAATATACAACTTGGTAATTTTAATATACAAATATACCTGTGCAACTATCATCACAATCAAGAAAAATGAACATACTTATCACCCAAAAAGTTTACCTTTTTTCTTATATAATTGCTCCCACCTACCTCTCCCAACCTCCACTTCTAGGCAACTATTGATCTGCTTTCTG